AGGAGGCTAAAAAAAAAAGGTGGCCAAATAAAATGGCGGCCAAAAAGCGGAAGTGGCTCTACACCGGCAGAGAGCGATCAGATAGGGATAATGCGGATAGAACCGCGCACTCAGGATACCACCACTTGGGGACCTAGTAGCAGAATACACCGGTTTAAAGGGTGTTTGCAGTAGTTAGGAACGGAAGGCAGATGTTGGCTGTGTGATCGCATGTAAGTACTCCGATTCTAACCGGCTCGTATACCAGCTCAAATGCCCCATCTGAATGCACCCTATATGTACAAAGAATTTGAATCTATTCGTCCAACATTTTCCTTACCAATAAGCCAGTTATTATAGCATAGATTCTTCCCTCTCTGTGTTCAGTTTATGAAACACAGAAGCATTAATGTTTGATCACCTGAAATTTCTTTTGTAATCCCTTTGAAATGGAGAAAGTGTCTGCAATAAGATTGGGGCTCACAATGTTTAAAATGGCTGACAGAAGCTCCTTTGCAGTTTCCACCCTTTTCCCCTGTCAAGGTTTCAACCAGAGACATGACTGGCTAGGGATTTTGTTCCCCTAAGCTCATTTTGGCAAACTGAAGAGCAGCAGAGCTGCCTACCCACTCAGAATCCCATCCTCGTCGCCAGGGTTGTATCTCGAGATCAGGCAGCTTTCTTTAATCAGTGATTTCAGTTGATTAGAACACACAACAACACAGAACAATCCCAAATTTTATACAGTTTGGAACTGGCTAAACCACACCCCTAGAACAGTAAGGTCAAATCATAAATGAGTGCTTAGGACCAATAGGGTTTGTTCCCACCGAAAGTCATAGGCTTCCCTGATTGGTCCATTGTACAATGGCAGCCAATCAGGCTGTTGATTTTAGGATACTAAAAGTCTATGGAGCTTGTGACTGAAGCTCAGGCTCATTCTACAATTCTGGCTATCCATATAACACAATACATAACAGGATGAAAGAGGGGAAAGATACTGAAAACAAAGGGTTGGACCCAACATTTCTGTTCCACTAGTGGTGGAGCCTTCTGTTGGATGTTCTGGCAATGGAACATGTCTCTTCCAATAGTGTAACACTCCTTGCATTAGAGTCTCCACCAACAGTAAAATGGAAATGTTATCTCTAGTTACTGCCTGACCTACACAGATTGTTTCTGGTTTCTGAGTGTCAGCAGACATTTCTCATTTATTGTTGACTCCTGTAAAGACTTCATCTTTAAAACTTTGTAGAAGACTCCAGATAATCTGCTATACTTCATGATTGTGGCAGTGCAGATTTTTAGATCCCTTGTGCCACACAGTTTTCACAGTCACTGCCTGAAATGGGACTCTGGGATCTCTGGACCTTTTGCTCTAATCCAGCTAATAGATTTCTGCATATACAGCACATAGTAGTGGTCCTGTGCCTGTATTAGTGGGAACCTGGCCCAGAAATGTGGACTGCCTTTCATCATGCAGAAATTAAGAGAGCTCAGTCTTTTCTTTGCTCTTTGCAGGAAGTAGAGGCTCTCAATGCCCTGATTGCCAACTCCGATGTAACAGTGCAAGTAGATAATCCACAGAAGCAAGACCTGAGTGAACGCATTGCTGAGATCCGCAGCCAGTATGAAGAAGTGGCTGAGCAGAACCGTGCTGAAGCTGAGAACTGGTACAAAAACAAGGTGAGGGGAGAGCCAGTCACGATAGTGCTGAGGAATGCTTGAAATTTCTTTGTCTCTCAACTTCCCTGCTGTTGTTGTCCCTGTTGTAACACACATGGTCCATACAGCACCTTCTTTAAGAAGATCAGAAGGACAGGCCATAGGGGACAGTTGAAGGACTGATAGCATAGCTAGATTAGGGACTTCCCACAATTTCAAAGTATGTCCTTCCAGTCTCCTGATTGGCTCTTTGGAGACTTCCTGCCCCAACTGAGCCCTCCCCCCCTTTGGTCCTGTCTCTCACAGCAGCTAGTCAGTTAGTTAAGCCTCTCTCCTCTGTTCTGTCAGAGTTTCTTCTTCTCTAATAAACCGAGTTATTTTTCTTAAGCAGTTGGTGCTCCATTCCTTTGCATATTTAAACTCTGCCAAGTCCCTTATCCCTGCAGTTTGATTCCATGTCCCAAGAGGCTGACGTGAACACCCAAGCACTGGAAGAAGCCAAAAGCGTGTTGACAGAGCTTCGTCGGCAGCTACAGGGTCTGGAGATTGAACACCAGACTCTTCAGAAAATGGTACGGTGACCATTCTCTTTTCCTCCCAGAATAGCCTGCGAGCACCATTTCTGTGCAGTTTTCTAAAACAGGGAAGTGGGGGTCTTCCCTATCCTGGAATATTAGAAACAAAAATGATCTACAATTTGTCTTTGAGGCAGCTATGAGTCATCTTGTGCATAAATGACCTCACATTCTGGAGCTGAAGATGGCTAATGTATAGAGCATGCTATAATTAGTTCTGCTTATGTTTCATAGTGCATCATCCTCGATTGGATTTAATGTTTATCCCGGTCTGCCCATCTTCTACAGTTAGGAGAGAGAAACAGTGTATTCTATCCACCTTTCCTGTTTAGGAATCGGGAGGAGTGATGTGGGAGGTGGCCTTGGTTTTGGTAGTAGAGTGCGTACTCAGCACACAAACGGTTCCAGGTCCAAGCTCTAGTATCCCATTAAACAGAAACCCAGTGGCACCTTGGAGACTAATATTTATTCCAGAAGTGTTCACTTCATCAGATGCATGGCATGCACAAACACATTACAGACAACTTTATAACCAGAGTTACAAAGGTGGGGGGAAATGGAGTTGCAGCAGCAAGAGACCTGTTACAAATTATTTAGATGTGCATCCCTGTGAAACGCACTGAAATGGATGTGGTTGTTATAGATAATGAATGAGAAAAGATACACAATAAATCCATTCAGAGAGGGTAAAGACCACCCCTAACTGTAGAGGATGGGAGAGCAGGATAAATCTAATCAAGGAAGGTGCAATGTGAAACATGATAAGCAGAAGTAATTAACATCTGTAAAAGGTGAGTCATTCTGAGCTATAGTGAGTGAAGAAATCTAAGTCTTTGTTCAAGCCTAGGAGAAAGATGGTATTCTCTGGATGAACCCTAATTCAGTTCTTTCATGTTGAATTCTTCCTTTGAAGTTATGGCATGGGCTGCCGAAGTTCAGACCACACCATCTCTTAGTCTTCTTTCGTAAAGTGTGTCTAGTGATTCTGCTCAAGGCAGCTTTTAATTTAAAGCAAGCGGTTAATAGATTGCTCTTAGCAGTCACTTAGCTGAAGTTTTAAAGTCAAGGCTTTGAAAATTGGCTGTATTGTTGAAAACTGACTAGGGTTTGCTAGGTACAACAATGTAGTATTTCAGAAAATTTAAGAAACAGTGGAAAGGAGACGGTATTGTTCAAGAAAAAAAAGTTCAAAGCATCTTTGGACTCAGGGAAATAGTTACCCCAGTTTACAGGATGCTGGCCAATTTTCTGTAAATATTTGTTATACACCTTGTGCTATATAAAAGGAACCCAGCATTTGGTGTACCACCTGGAATGCAGGCATCCACACCCCCCCCCCCCCAAAAAACAACCAAGTGAATGTCATTCCTCTATCGAATATTACTACTTCTTCCAATGCAGGTGGATACCCTGGAGAACACCGTGAAGAATACAGAAAACCACTATCGCAATGACTTGGGCAATCTCAACGGTGTCATTATCAAGCTGCAAGATGACCTGGCAGCCTGCCGGGCTGACCTGGAAAGGCAGGCCCGAGACTACGAAGCCCTTCTGGACCTCAAGACCAAGCTGGAGAATGAGATAGAGCACTACCGCAGTCTGATTGAGGGTGCAACAGACAGGTAATAAGGGGCTATGCTGCCTTGTCTTTTATCCATACTTCTCAGTCACAAGCCTGTTTGGGAGGTTTCCATGTCATTCCACACATTGCATAGCTGTTTTTCTGCAGTGTAAAATGCCTTCATGTAATTTTGTTCTGCTAGTAAGGAAAAACACTCAGGAAATTATATTACTTCCCCATTGCAAATATACATGGGGCAGGAGTGACCTATATGCTGGCACAAGATTAATTTTATTCTTCATTAGGCAGGGTGCCTTGCTGTTTTTCCCCGTGTCCTGTCTTCATTGCCGCACAATGGAAAGTTTCCTCCAGTACCTCCCGCTTCACCAGATAATACCTGCAGGTGTATCCCATGCAGAGGGGAAAAAAGATCAAGCAAAACACATGGGGTTAGGAGGCTGAAATGGGTGAAGGGATCTCTCTGCCACTCACAGAGCTCTGTTTCTGGAAGAAGGACAAGGTGGCAATTTCACTCAAGTCCCTGACTCACATTACTTTTTGTCCATGAAGCCCCACAACTCCTGGTTGGTATCACCTTACTGGGGGGAGTGGGAAGTGGAGGAAATCCATACATACACTGGCCTCTAGTTGGATACAGCTTGGAGCATCAGGTCTGATCACTACTCATCCCATCTTTGCGTATTTTGAAAGCTGTAACCAGACCAGCTAGCTCAGTGGACAGTCAAGTTAATCTTCTTTGAGCGGGGGCCAGTGATTAGGCATCTGTAGTCTGGACAAGAGCAGGCCCGTAGTCAGGATTTTTTAAAATAGGGGGGCCTTTTAAAAAATTGGGGGTGGGGCACTGAAATTTGCAGCCCTCACTTCTTCCCCAAAGCATTTAAATGCTTTGGGGAAGAGGCGGGGCCCATCCACCAGGCAGCTCCCCCTCCACCAGGCACTCAGCCCGTTGCAGCACCAGGTCAAAGAAGCCAGTCTCCGCCCAGCATTCACAGTGCACATCTTGGAGGCGCACGCAACTGTGGCAAGAGCGCTGCAGCAACTCGGTGGCCTGTGGCCAGTCTTGGGTAAAGTACATCCACCCACCGTTGGTGTAGAGAAGGCCAAAGGGGGCCAGCGGGCTGCAGGAGCTGAGCGAGGAGGAGGAAAGGACGAGGAAGAGAGGACGGCGTGTGTGTGTGTGTGGCTGGGAGGGACGAGGAGGGCAGGAGAGAAGGCAACGCAGGGAGGCGACCAGAGCAGGTTGGGACCAAGAGCACATTTGCTGTCCGGCTGCCGCGGGGAAAGAGGGGGAGTGGAAGGCAGGGAGCTGAAGAAGTCCACCGCTGCTAGAGGCTGGGAATCCCGAGGAGGAACACAGAACACCCGCCTGCTTGTCTGGAGAGCCATGCTCCCTCTAAGCTGTGGAGTCCTGTGAGCAAAAATTCTACTATGTGAGCTTCCGACATTGAAGTTGTGAGTGGGCGATTTGGCTCCTGCATAAATTAGCTTGCCTTGGAGCCATCCTTCCTGAGCGGAGACAAAAATGTGTGAGCCGCAGGCTAAAAAACTGTGAGCTGGCTCACACTAAGGGAACACTGCTGGAGAGTAGGGCAAAACTAGCCAATGTGGCCTCCTCCCCCCCCCCCGGCTTCTCCCTCAAAGCACTTAAAGGGACCCTTTAAATTCTTTGGGGGAGAAGCAGGGCCCGGACGCCTGCAGTCCAAGCTGTGAATCTGCAGCTTGGAGTGCAGGCATGCGTGGCCTCCCCCCCCCGCTTCTCCCCCAAAGTTATGGGGCCTTGGGAGGAAGAGGGGGGCGCCCGGGAAGCCCCACTGTCGCTACAGGCCTAGACAAGAGGTTTTCTGGGAAGACTGTTGTATCTTGAGGAGCAGTAGACAGAAAATTCCACCAGGCATTATATCCTCTGTCACTGGAGCAGTCCGATGGGTTCAGTGCTACACCTACTGAAATGTTGCTTTTAAAACCATTCTAGTCCTCCTAGGATCTGGCCTGGCAAGAAGGGGCTGTCACACACCATTCACACTTCCTTGAGTCACAGACACAAAGTGACAGGTGGGGCCTGTGGCAGCTGATGCAGTAAGCAGCCGTGCTGCTGCAGGTGTAAACAAATCTGTAGCAGGAAATGATCCCGGTAAGCAAATCTTCAGAGGGCATGGCACGCAAACACCTGGCATGTTTTGTGTTTTCAGAGGGGAGCTGCAGAACTCAGGCAAAGCAGGTAAGTGACCCACTGTGGTGTAGCAGTAGAGATGTTAGTACTGCTTTCCTTCTGTGTGCTCGGCTGTGAACTGCTCCTCCGTTTCTTGTGTGGCATTTGAAATAGATCCTCCCCCAGACTTGGTGGCTGGCTGCTGCTTTCCCACCAACAGGCTTCAGCGGAATAGGGTGTGCCTTGGAAACTGCCAGCCTGCATAATTACTTGACTGAATCCACAGGGACTCAAAAGCACATGTTGTACCAAGCCAAGATCCTAGTATTTTCAGGAAGTCAGTATTCTGCACGAGGACAATGTACACACAGAACCTGAAATCACTGCAGGTAACATTAGGAGGCTGCATGATTGCCGGATACTGCCTGTATTTCTCGATTAATGTCAAGAACTGGAAATTTTAAAATATGCAGTTCTGAGATAACTTAAACTTTCAAAGTGTCCATTTGTTTCTATCCCAGGTTTTCTGTGGAAAACTCAAGCTATGTCACGTAGGCTTGTAATTTCCCATTCAGGCACTGACCAGAACGAGTCCTCCTTTGCTGCATCATGTGCATTGAGCCCATTTCTCATGCTAGGGGAGAAGGCAGTTTCTACCCCTGCTCTACTTAGATTACGATTTCTTTTTTGCGGGGAGGTGCTTCCTCTCCAATTAACATGTGTTTCAGCTCACTGCTTTCAGTGAGGGAACAGCTCAGTTGGGGGGCTATTTTGTGACATCTAAAAAGCTGCTTGAAACATTATCTTGAACCCGAGTGCATTTCTCTCTCAAGGATAACAGTCTGGGAAGCAACAGCTTTGTTTGCCTGCTCTTATTTATCTATCTATCTATCACACTTGTACCCCGCCCTCCCCGCAAGCCACTAAACCACTATTTACTCCTCTTTTTCAGACACCAGGAGACAAACCATTAAGAAGGTAGTGATTATGACGCAAGAGCTTGTGGATGGGCAAGTGGTAGCACAGACATCTGAGGAAGGGATCCAGTAAGTTAATCACCTGTGTCAGTGCACTGCTAATCCCTGCATCACAAGCTTCTACTACCGAATAAAGCCATATTTAAACAATTCCAGGTGTCTTGTCCTGACATTTGTTTACACAGCTCACTGTGGTCAGTCAGAATTCATATGAAAAGGCTAACCTGAGTGCAGAGGTTGAATGTATATGCAGTAACCTGTATGTATCCTTTGGTATTCTGGCCCCAATTCCTTCCTATTTGATTTTTTTCAAAGAAGTTCAAACAGTTCCAGCATTCCACACAGAGTGGCGTTGCAACAGTCCTTTGATTGCTCAGGACAAAAACATCTGTCTTATCAGTTGTTCACTCTCTTCTTGCATAAAACCATGGTATTTTAAATGAAGAAGCAGCCCGATTCATTAAAATGTATCACATATCTTTCAACATGTGCTCATGCAAAGTGGCACATACTTCTATTGCTTTACTAAAAGGCTCCATCACCAAGACAGAGTTCAGTCTTAGAAGCCATTGCATCGGAACTAGGAAAAAAGACGGCAGGGAGACAAAAGGCTTAACTGCAAGCATCTTAGAATTGTCCGGTCAAAAGTTTAAGATGGGAACATGAGGCGTGAAAACAAATTCCATTTCCCCTCCACTATTTTCCTTCATCAGAAAATTAACTTAAAAAAACAACAACAGTGAACACTTTAAAGTCATTTCAACACAACTAGAAGGGAACACTTAGTGACTGCTCTGTTCTCAATGAAATGCTAGCGTGCTAGTGTTATATATAACAACTGATATCCTAGTGAAAGCAGTTACAATCCAGAAGAAAGCATTTTTATTTTCAAATGTGCCTGGTTTGTTTCCTCTCTTCCATTAAAAGTGATAAATTAATTTTGTTTCAAAGTTCTAAAATATTTTTTATCTGAGAAGTGAACAGATAAAAGGAAGTACTTCTTCACCCAAAGAGTGATTAACACATGGAATTCACTGCCACAGGAGGTGGTGGTGGCTACAAGTATGGATGGCTTCAAGAGGGAATTGGATAAACATATGGAGCTGAGGTCCATCAGTGGCTCTTAGCCACAAGGTATAGATAGGGACTCTGGGGCAAGTGATGCTGTGTATTCTTGGTGCTTTTTTGGGGGGGGGCAACAGTGGGAGGGCTTCTAGTGTCCTGGCCCCACTGCTGGACCTCCTGATGGCACCTGGTATTTTTGGCCACTGTGTGACACAGTGTTGGACTAGATGGGCCATTTGGCCTGATCCAACATTGGCTTCTCTGATGTTCTTAACCTGTGGAACACAAAGCTGGAAAACAGAAATCAAAAATTGCTGAAAAGACCCCATATAAGTGTCTGGGGATCTAACTCAGGGTTGGTTCCCATCAATCCATTCAGCTAATGACAGCAGATGGTCATGCTGCAAAGAAGCTGGAGCTTCATATGAGAGGGGAAGTACTACTAGTGTGAGCAGAATGGGCCTGTGAGATTCAACCCATATATACCTTTACCACTTAACAGCCTTCATTTTCCTGCTCTTTCCCATATACCTTGTTCCGATTTAATGCAATCCTAACTAATAATGCAGATCTAATAATGACTACTCATAAACCATGATAGTTAAGATAGAAAGATCTCCTTTATTAATGAATCCCAACAATATTTCTTCAGATACAGGAGTTGTGAACTCAAATACTCAGAAGAAAACAAAAAAGTTAATATTGCGTTATTCTCATAAGAAGTACTGTAACTCATTACCAGTAAACATATTTGCAAAGCAAAACAGCTTGAAAAAGGGGGGAAAGCAAAGAAAGTACGGTTGATCAAAATGGAATTAAGGTTTGTTTTTTGTTTGAACTATTAAGTCCTTGCAAGAACAGCTCGATTTTGCAGATCACTTCCCAAACTTGTATAGAAAACAGAACCCGATTGGATTTATTTCCTTAAGAGCTCAGAGAGGTGCAATGTTTAAAAGCTACGATTATCAGGTAGCAAGTACTCCAGCCTTCTGCCACAGATGTCTGAATCCACCTCCTTGCAGCTGTTAACGAGATGCAAAGGTCTTCCCCCTGGCAAGAATTCAAAGGGCAATCAGTGGGGAGGTTCTTTCCTTTCCTAGCCCATTTAGCACAGTGGCCCAAGTGTTTCATCCTTCATCCACCTGTACCGTCCTGCTCCCCCACCCACCCAATTTATAAATCCAAAGAATTCAAACTACAACTATTCATGCAAATAAGCCTATTACATGGACTCATTTCTCTACCATGAGATTAAGTCTTCTGACTACAGATTTCTAGGTGTACTTCCTGCCTACTTCCGCCAATCCTATTTGCCTAGCTAAGTTCACAATTTAGTTAAGGATACTTGCAAGAATCCACACCTTCCTCCTCAGCTAGTCCCTCCCCAGAGTCTTGGTCTGCACATGCAGCAGAATGAAGTGATAGAAAGGGCTGCACCACTTCAGACTGCAGGTGGAAGGGGCCACATTTTTAATGCTTGCCAATGTAAAAGCTCCCCGCGGATAAGGGGGGAAAAGCCCATCAGGAAGAAATGCTCTAGCCTCAGCCTCTGCATACAGCGCTTGTTTTCCACTTACAGGAAATTATTAATGCAGGGGAATTTTGAGAAGTGCCATTCCCTATCTGTATTCTGACATGCTATCAACCTTTCTGCTGTCTCTTCCTGCTGTATACAGTAGACGATGCCTAAGGCTGGAACCTGCTCATTTGCAAAACAAGCACTTAAGGTTGTGAGATGCTAGATCTAGGCAGAAAAATAAGCAGGTCTATCTTTGCTGGAAACAGGCGTAAGCATCCAAGATTATTCCTAATTAAAAAAAAATGTCATGTCTGTTCCTCTAATTACAGTTATCCTGATTCATTTGAGGGGGGAAAAAATCAGAGGTGTTGAACTAATTTGACGAGAGCCGGACCTGAGATTAATGTCACTTTGTCGGACCGGGCCACGTGTGCCATAAAATGTAATGCCAGGTACCGGGGATATAAACTTTATAAAGGACACAGGCAAACTCAATTAACAGACATTATTTTTCACTCAATACAAACATGCTTAAAAGATCAACACACTTACAATATTTCCTTTATTTGACACCTCTTGCTCTGAATTACTGCATCAAAATCTGGAGCCAATGTCTGTGCTATAGCAATCTTGAGGATGTTGTTTAGGTTTCTAAGCTGAAAATGTACTTTTGATTTATTGACATTTATTACAGAAAAGAGCTGTTCACAGACATATGTTGTTCCAAACAGAATCTTTGAAGCACAAGCCTTAAGCTGGGGGTAATTCAGACCCCAAAACTGAAAAAATTTGCCAATGCCAACTTCAGTATAGCATTCCACTGATCCCCTGCCTACCTTTGATTTGCGGCATCCTTTCACTGGTGTGTGTGTGTGTGGGAGCAGTGTAAATGTCTCATTTGGTTGACTGTACTGACTCACTATGTGTAATCTACCTTTATGCCTCCCACCTTAGAGAAACTTCCCCTGTCCATCTCTGAAAATACACTTCTCCACTACACTAGATCAGCATCCTTTTTCTCCATAACCCTGAAAGCATTTCTGTCTGTGAAGCAGGATTTCTTCTCCACTTAGAGAGGCCCACCCCGAAATGTACACATATAATATCAACTGAAGCAAAGGGGGAGAGCCCAGCATGCACGCACACTGACAAGGTGGTGGCGACCCCCCGCCTCTGACAGGAGAGCCTGGCCCAACTGAGAAAGGAAGGGGGGACCCACCAGCCAAACAACCTGCAGTGGGTCTTTTTGCTGCTGCCGCCACCCTCCTCTTCCCTGCTCACGGATCGGATAACAGGCCTGGATGGGCCAGTTCTGGCCCCCTGGGCCATATGTTTGACACCCCTGGCATAAATCATACTGGAACCAAGGGCTGCCTAAGACAGAACATGAGCTACTCTGAAAGATAAATAGCCCTTTAAGAGGTGACATTTCTGTTGAACGCTGGGTAAAGGTTAACCACTCCATTCCTCAGTGTAAATCACAACTCATCTAAAAACTGGACTCACTTTTTAGTCTTTGGGATCAGACCACCCCTCACCTCCAAATCAGAGAAACTGAAGACATTCAGCCTTATTGTATGTATTTCAGGAGCTTAGCGTTGTCTCTCAGTTCACTAGAGTAAGAACAGTCCGCCTGGCAACTGGCTCAGACATTAATATGATGCCCCAGCCAGAAAGAGGATATCGTGCCACACAAGTTAGCAGCGCTGGGAGTATGAAGTGGCCCATCAGAGGCTGGACTAACTCAGTCACTGGAACACTGACCTCACCAGAGCTCTGGAGCAAGACACAGACTTATGAAGCATCTGACGCATGGTTCAAGGCACCACAAAGCTTTACCACCTCAGATTTCCAGGCCACAATTTATTCTGAATAAAGAACTCCTTTGCAGTATACAGTCAGCTCCGGGGCTCTTTTTGTAGCAGGAACTCCTTTGCATATTAGACGACACACCCTAATGTAGCCAATCCTCCAAGAGGTTACAGTAGCCCCTGTAAGAAGAGCTCTGTCGGCTCTTGGAGGATTGGCTACTGTAATGATTCCTTGTTTTATATATGTGTGTGTGTCTCTTTAAAAGTTTGGTTGCCTGGCTGTGTGATAGAATAGAGTGGTTGAAAAGACAAGTGTGGTGTGATTGGTGATTGACAGAGAGGGGGAGGGGTTTTGGAAGTGTTTCTGAGTGGATGAATAGATATATCTGTCAGGAGGGTCAGTTACTGGTTTGACAGTTGATGAAGACAGTTGAGTTTAGTTTTGGTTCTCAAGTCTGTGGGAGAAGCAGTCTTGTGTGTGATATAGGAGTTCTGGGTATGAGAAAAGTGAGAAGCATTTCGGGGTGAAAGCAGTTAAGCTGTCTGTTGATGTTGTTCAGAGTTATAAGAAAGTCTGAGTGACAGACTGGAGTGAAACAGTTTACGTCTATGTCCTGGAGTTAAAGTGGTACAAAGTTACCTGAAAAATCCCTGTCAGGAAGGGAGCAGATCTTGTGTGAGACACCAAGAAATTGTTAAAAAGATTCACCTTACTGGTTACATTGTTCTACCCTTTTATTTATGAATTATTTCAATAAATCTTCTTTTATTCAAGTATGCCAACTCTGAAATAAAAACTTCCTCAGTACTACATAGTTACCCATAAGCCTTACACTCGACCTACCTACCCAGTAATAGCAAAAGTAAAGTATAAAGGTTTGGCAGACGGATATACCCTAGGAGAACCAAAACATAAAGAACACTTTTAAAGGGAAACCAGACCTCCCCAGATAAGGGGTCGTCACAGCTACATTAGGGGTGTGTCACCTAATATGCAAAGGAGTTCCTGCTAGCTCTATTATCTGTTGTCACGGCAGTTCTGACAGCAATACTAAATTCTCCAGTGTATTCTGTTCTGCCAAGTCTGTGTTGTAGCAAGTGCTAAACAGGACTGAAGAGCCACAAACCAAGGGAAGAAAGTTGTCCCCCTGAAACTCACGTGATTGTTTTCATTTCCTTCTTTTCCGCATGGGCACGGTGCAGCACTTTGAGGAAGTCTGAAGTTTTTGCTCTCATGCGCGTGTGAATGTAAGCCTGTATTTTATTTTCAGAAGAGAAAAAAAATGCAGCTGAAGGGCACTGCCTCAGCACTCTGAAATCCATATTTCATCTATCCACTCTAAGATTGTAACCAATATCAAAGATCTACATAACGGCCTACAGGGAGTCAATGCACAGAAGACAGGAACACTGGCAGCCCATCGCCATCCAAGTGCACCTTTTGGCCTAACCCATCACACTCTCTGCATTCTGCCAAACTAGAAAGGGAAAGGGGGATATGGGAAGTGCAAGACACTATGACGAGACATACTTGTCTCACTTTAACTCCTGGTCTTATTATCAGTGGGGTGGTAAAACTAGATACAGGAATCATGATTAAACTCAATACCTTATTCTCTCCCCAGTGTGTTGGAGGTTGCATGGCCCTGTTTTGCACAATCTGGTACAGAAAACTCTACAAAGTTTTCTGCACTGCATTCCACGATCTGCTATTGCTTATGCACCACTTACAAATATTTGTTCAAAAGCCTTTGGCTCACTGCAGATGTACAGTATTTTGAGTTACAGGACAAAAGCCACTTGCTGCCAGTCTCCTCAGCCAACAATTTTTTGGGAGGAAAATTAAAGACTAGGGTATGGGGGTGGGAGGAGAAAACTCTCTGCTGTAATGCTTCATAGACACCAGGGTAAGAATGTGGCAGGTAAATGTTACTAAGCTATTTTATGAATATGAAGGAAGCAGAAGAAGTGCCAACCCCCCTTCAAATAGCATCTTCTCCCAAACTTTACTGGATTCCTCAACTCCACTGGGAATCAGTAGGGCCCTTTATTGATACACTCCCTGTACCTTGGAACATTTGATGTGATAGTGCAGGTAGTCCCGGAATGTGTGAATCAAATTGATGGTGTTGTCTCTGGCAGCAGCATTGGTGTGGCGGGGGAACAGCACTGCAAAAAACAAACAAAGAAGGTTTATTCCGCACCAATCACCACAAGGCTATGCAGGTACCCACAATCCCAGGGTCATACACCATGTGCATGTATATATAAAGGTTGCCTTGCTCGAAAGCCAGTTGAATCCGACTCTAGGGGTGCGGTGCTCATCTCCGTTTTTCAAGCCGAAGAGCCAGTGATGTCCGAAGACGTTTTCGTAGTCATTTGGCTGGCATGACTAGACGCCGAGGCACGCGGAACACTGTTCCCTTCCCACCGAAGTGGTACCTATTTATCTACTTGCAATTTCTTGCTTTCGAGCTGCTAGGTTGGCAGGAGCTGGGACCAGAGATGGGAGCTCACTCCGTCATGCGGCACTCAGGTCTCGAACTGCTGAGCTACCAACCTTCTGGTCTGCAGTTCAGCACCTATAAAAAGTAAAGGCTTCCCTTGCTCAAAAGCTACTTTATCTGACTCTAGGGGGCAGAGCTCATCTTTGTCTCCAAGCCGAAGAGCCAGCGCTGTTGGAAGAAGTTTCTGTGGTCAAGTGGCTGGCATGTCTAAACGCCGAAGCACACAGAACGCTGATACCTTTCCACCAAAGTGGTACCTATTTATCTACTTGCAATTTCTTGCTTTCGAACTGCTAGGTTGGCAGGAGCTGGGGCCAGAGACAGGTGCTCACTCCATCACGTGGCACTCGGGTCTCAAACTGCTGAGCTACCGACCTTCTGGTCTGCAATTCAGTGTCTTAACCTCTGAGCCACCGTGGCCCCAATAGGTATCTGTCTGGAAGGACAAAGATCCCTTCCAAACAGCAGCAAAACAGAAGTCTGCAATAATCTCAAGTCTCCCTGCAATGCTAGCACAGGAATTCACTCAGTGTCAGAGAGCACAGCTTTTCTATTAATTCCCTGAATGTCATCAGAGAAATATTCTCTTATCTGGAACCTCCTTGAAGAACCTTTTTTTTAAACATACCTTGGTAGAACTTATCAGTAACCATCATCCTAGTGCTGTCAGACAACTAGAGAAAGCAAACATTTAGCTACACTGGCACAAAGTCTCCCGAACAAAGAAGAGCTGTTATGCTGCCTCTACTGAACTATGGAATGGATGTCATTCTCACCAGCCCAATGCCAGGAGTGGTCCTCAAAAGGATCTAGTTGCACAGATGGTATACCTCCCCAATTGCTATGTGTTGAAATTCCTCTTGGTTAGCAGACACTACCTCCAGGGTTCATCACAAGAATTTGTAGCAGTGATTCCTGAACAATGAGATCTACTAAAATCAATTAGCAGCTGGAAGAAGGTAACTGACGGGATGGAGTTTCTCATCCTCTTCTCACTGCAGAAAAGTTCTCAGAGGAAAGCATGTCTCATGAGCACTCCACAGCCAAGTGATAGTTCTTAGATAACCAGGGGCCTGTTTTGGCATAGCTTCCCTCCACTATTCCAAAGCTGGAAACCTTTGGCTAAACAGCTGTACATATGGAGCAGAGATCCATCAGTGGCTATTAGTAGAGGGAATATAATGTCTGGAGCAGTGATGCTCTGTATACTTGGTGCTTGGGGGGCACCAGTGGGAGGGTTCCTGGAGTTCTGGCCCTGCTGGAGGACCTCCTGTCGTCAGCTGGGTTTTGGCCAGTGTGTGACACAGAGCACTGGACTGGATGGGCCATTGACCTGATCCAATATGGCTTCTCTTATGTTCTTATATATTCAGTAGTTAAATGAGGAATTACCTGTGACTGAAAGTACTTTACTGGGTTTTTGTGAAGTGGCTGGGGAACAGTGATTAGCTTGCACCTTTCAAATCCTTGCTTTAGAACAAGAAGTTGTTGCTTTTTCATGGGTTTGTTTCAGCAGAACTATGTCTGAGTTCATGTTTGGCCACTGGAAAAATAACATAGGTGTAGCATAACAAGTGCTAGGTATATCCTTCAGAAAAATCTCAGAACAATTTGAACCATGCATGAGGGTAATTCAGCATCCAGAATGTTTTACACACGTGTGTATGTATGTGGAAAAATTAACAGCAAGGATCTTGATCATGATGAATTCAAATCTTGACAATTAATGGGGAAAGTAGAGCATGCAACAGCCACTGCTGCCAATGTTTCCTTTTGCTGCTTTTTGAGCATCAAAAGGTACACTGCAACCAACCCATGCAACTTATTTGTATAGGTTAGTGACACCTAGAATCAGCTCTTAAAATAATTAAGCTAGCAATCACAAACAACAAACTGGAAACTTCAAATTGCATGACCTGGATTTTGCACTTTTAGCACATATGGCTATCGCATTTGTCTTCACCATCAACTTCAGATTAACACATTTCCCCCCATTTCCTCAAAAACCAACCAAGACTTTCCAGACGGAGCTCTTCAAAAGCAGTCTGCAGAATGCACGTCACCTATCCACGCTCTAAGAAATTTTATTCTATCTGGGAGTATTTTTTGGCAAATGGGTCTTTGGCTGTTTTAATTTCGACTGATCTGTGTCAATTATTTATTGTTTGGTGTATTTAATATGCTGTCAAACTGATTTAAACAACAGTGTTTAATGAAAACTGTGGCTTACCCTTTTTTTAAATAAACAAACTGAGAGCCATTTCCACTGCTCTGCTGAGCTCTTGATTTATTGAAACAAGGGTTTGCAAAGAAGAAAAGAAGTGTTGTGCACTTCATAACCAGGATTTTGAGGGGGGAAATCGCTATCAAAGCCTTGTCAAGATGAGCACATTACCCACTCACCAAAGGTGATGTATCCAATGTTGTCTCCTACTGCTGCATCGGTATCTTTGAGTTCCAACGGAGGCTCCCTGTGGCTGAAGAGCACCTGGGGGGCTGTGTGGCTAGCACGACGACCCTCCTTAAACTCCTGAGAAAAGGTAAAACAAAACGACCATTAGCCAAAAACAAACAGGCACCCTTTTAAAAAATACCGAATATCAAGGATTTCCACACACTACAGCTGACCCAGCTGAGCTTTGAGAAGCAGCAGGAGACAGAGCTGCTGGAGAGGTGCTTTTTATTTGCTTTCAGCTGAGGGTACTGTGTGGGAGGACTGTGTTTGGGAGTGTGTGGGTGAGTTTTATGTTGTTGCCGAGTCCTCGCTCCTTAGCTGCTGGCCCTGTCTTCTGCTGCATGAGGCTTCTATCACCAGAGGCATGAGCCAAAGAATTCCTGGCCTGTGGCTCTTAGCCTAGAGGCTGTGTAAGAACCCCAGGAAGGACTAGGAAGCCAGGGACCTAGTCTCCTTGTGTTCCCAGTAAGGCAAGTAGACTTTCCACAAGGAGAGCCACATAAATACGAAGGGTTTTAAAAGGGGGATTATATATAATAATTTTTTAAAAAGCAATTATGAAGGCAGAATTCCAGCAGGTGGTTGGGGGCTATCCAGTGTTTTCCATGGAGTGTTACATGTATGACTATCTGCCCACTGGACAGAAGTCTTGGGTATGTGCCCAGTGCAAGGAGCTCCTGGTTCTCAGGGAATGAGTTTGCACCCTTAAGGGAGAAGCAGAGACAGTCAGTTAGGCACATGGAGAAGATTTTTGGGGACTTTAGATATGTCCTACTCTGA